TACCCTCTTCCAACAACACAAGAGAAGACTCTACACATGGACATCACCAGATGGTCAACACCAAAAACAGANTAATTTGATGTTTTGACATATGTACATCTGTGAAAATATCAATTATGATAATAAGCATATCCATCACTCCCAGAAGTTTCCTCTTGTCTGTTTGTAATTCCTTCCTCCCAGGCTTGCCTACCCTCCCTCCAATCCTCCAACAACTGTTAATTGCATTTCCTAGATTTTATATGAATGGAATCATACAATATGCAAATTTTGTCTTGCTTCATTCAGCATAATTATTTTGTGATCTCTCTATGATAGAGCATGTATCAAAACCTTATTCCTGTCTTATTGCTGAGTAGGCTTCCAATGTATGGATACACCACACTTCTTAATATCCGTTTACCAGTTGAAAGATATTTGAGTTGTTTCAAATTTTTGACTACTAGAGCTCTTCAGTGAATTCAATACAGTTTCAGGATACAAAATTAGCATACAGAAATCTATTCCATTTCTATACGCTAACAATGAACAGCAGACTATTTCCAAATTGGGAAAAGAGTACGTCAAGGCTGTATATTGTCACTCTGCTTATTTAACTTATATGCAAAGTACATCATGAGAAATGCTAGAGTGGATGAAGCACAAGCTAGAATCAAGATTGCCGGGAGAAATATCAATAACCTCAGATACACAGATGATACCACACTTATGACAGAAAGTGAAGAGGAACTAAAGAGCCTCTTGAAAGTGAAAGAGGAGAGTGAAAAAGTAGACTTAAAACTCAACATTCAGAAAGCTAAGATCATGGCATCTGGTTCCATCACTTCATGGCAAATAGGAAACAGTTTCCTTCATGACAAGGAAACAGTGGAAACAGTGAGAGACTTTTTTGGGGGGGGCTCTAAAATCACTGCAGGTGGTGACCACATCCTTGAAATTAAAAGATGCTTGCCCCTTGGAAGGTAAGTTATGACCAACCTAGACAGCTTATTAAAAAGAATAGATATTACTTTGTCAACAAAGGTCCATCTACTCAAAGCTATGGTTTTTCCAGTAGTCATGTATGGATGTGAGATTTGGACTGTAAAGATAGTTGAGTGCTGAAGAATTGATGCTTTCAAACTGCGGTGTTGGAGAAGACTCTTGAGAGTCCCTTGAACTACAAGGAGATCCAACCAGTCCATCCTACAGGAAATCAGTCCTGAATATTCATTGGAAGGACTGATGTTGAAGCTGAAACTCCAATACTTTGGCCACCTGATGAGAAGAACTAACTCATTTGAAAAGACCTTAATGCTGGGAAAGATTGAAGGTGGGAGGAGAAGGGGACGACAGAGGATGAGGTGGTTGGATAGCCTCACTGACTCAATGGACATGAGTTTGAGTAAACTCTGGGAGTTGGTGATGGACAGGGAGGCCTGGCGTGCTGCAGTCCATGGGGTCACAAAGAGTTGGACACAACTGAGTGACTGAACTTAACTGAACTGAACCTTTGAGACTGGCTTTTTGTCACTTGGCATAATGCCTTAGAGATTCACCCAAGCTGATGCATGTATGAAGTTCATTCCTCTTTTTTAAACCTTTGTTTTTAAAAACAAGTTTTATTTATTTATTTTTGGCCGTGCTGGGTCTTCATTGCTGTGTGGGCTTTCTCTAGTTGCAGAGATGACAGCCACCTTCTCACTCTGTCCTCATATGGTAGACAGAAGGGAAGCAAGCTCTCACAGTCTCTTCTTATAAGGGCACTAATCCCACTGGGATTACCCCACCCTCATGACCTCATCTAATCCTAATTATGTCCTAAAATTCCTATCTCTAAATATAATCACACTAGGGGTTAGGGTTTCAACATATCAATTTTGTGGGACACAACTCCATCCATTGTAATGATCAAACTCCCTACTCATCTCTTTCTTCTTCTTTTAGCCACTGAGTTGTGTCCAACTCTTATGCAACTCAGTGGACTGTAGCCGGCTAGGTTCCTCTGTCCATGGGATTTCCCCAGGCAAGAATACTGGAGTGGGTTGTCAATTCCTTTTCTAAGGGATTTTCTCGACCCAAGGATTGAACATGCATCTCCTGCATTGCAGGTGGATTCTTTACCACTGAGCCACCTGGGAAGCCCCCCTATTCATCATAAAAATCTAAATTAAAGCAATACAGAGCTATTGTATAGCTTCTCACCCACCCAGCACATTGTGTGCTGACAAGAAGACAAAGAACAATCCTTTCACAGGCTGGAATTGGAAGTGTGACTTAGTGAAGCCTTTGCAGAAACCATCATAGTATGACAACCACAAAGTCCTTATACTTTGACCCTGCAATCCCACTTCTTGGACCCATTTTCAAGTGGAACTTGCTCACTTGCACAGAGAAGCACGCCCTTGGGTGTTCTTGGCAGGATTCTTTGTGGCGGCCAACAGATGGAAATCATCTTTATATCCAACTAGAGGGTCCCCACAGTAAAGTTTGTAATTCCTGATATGACCCCCAAAGCTGTTATTAAAAAGAGGGAGAGAAAATCAGGGTATAGGTTCTCATCTGTGGAGAAGTAACTGGGAGAGGGCATGGGTGGGGGGTCTTTTGGTCTGGGCCTTGTTTTCAGGTGCAGGTTCCATGAGTATGCTGTGTGTGAAAGTGTATTGGTATACATGTATGGTTAGGCATGCTTATGCACTTCCATAAAAATATTTTTTAAAAATAGGAGATTCAGTGTACTCTTGATTTAAGTGAGACTCAGATTCCCAAACTCTTCATTTCAGTGAGAAATCTAGGTCTCTCGAGGGTTCTTTGGGAGTATTTCTTGGGTGGGAGAGAACTAGTTTTCTCTTCTTAATTCACATATCTGTGAGAAAAGAGGAACCATGCATACAGTTCTCTTTCTGACCTGAAAATTCAAAAGCACATCTCTCATTCAGGAAATAAAGAGTATCAATTCAAGGATTGTGAAGTCACTTGAAGTAAGGGATGGGAATGGGGAGGGAGGTGGGAGGGGGGTTCAGGATGGGGAACACATGTAAATCCATGGCTGATTCATGTCAATGTACGGCAAAAATCACTACAGTATTGTAATTAGCCTCCAACTAATAAAAATAAATGAAAAAAAATATTGTTAAGACACTTGAAATAAGTTATATGTCTTATCAAAACTGAACACTGAAGTTAAAAATCACAGTCATAGGACATGGTAATAATGTTGCAGTCTGAGTGTCTTAAAGTTTGTTCAGTTTTCTGGGGTTAGATATAAACTTGGATGAGGCCAACTCATGGTGTGGAACAGAATCTGCTTTCCTGCAGCTGCTCATTCTTTTGAGATTGTCCTTGTTATCCTTCTAACAGTTCTTTAACCAGAAGGAAGAAAGGCACACAGGTTCATGCCAATGCTGGAATCACACCCTCTTCCCTTGTTGCTCAGATGAGAAAGAATCGGCCTGCAATGCAGAGACCCAGGTACAGTCCCTGCATTGGAAAGATCCCCTGGAGAGGGGAATGGCTACCCATTCCAGTATTCTTGCCTGGAGAATCCCATGGATATAGGTGACTGGTGGGCTACAGTCAGTGGGGTCGCAAAGAGTTGAACACAACTGAGTGACTAATACTTTCACTTTCCTCTAAAACCAAGGGAACTATTAATATCAGCTAAAACCCAGTGGCATTAGCTTCCATTGATGGTTCTCACCTGAGTTAGTAGTTACTATGGTGTTTGAATGGTTGTCAGTTTTCTAATGATGCATAAGAAATTTCCACAAAGTTAAGTTTGTTAACTTAGAGTTCTGTGTAGGTCAGAATGGCTGCGTTCTCTGCTCACCATTTCACAAGGTTAAAATCAAGGTGTTGGCCTGCATTCTCATTTGGAGCTAGGACACTCTTCCAAATGAATCATGGTTACTGCAGGATTCAGATCCTTATTTGTTGTAAAACTAAAATCCCCATTTCCCTCCTGTCTTTCAGCTGGGGGCCACTCTGAGTTAACGGTTGTCTGCATTTCTTGCCACGTGATCCTTTCTGAGTTAAAGCTAGCTGGGGAGAGTCTTCCTTGCCTCTAAGCTGCCTCCTGCCTGGGAATCTTTGCCGTAAAATCCAGTCCTTTTTAGGAACTCATCTGATAAGGTTAGACCCTTTGAAGATATTCTCCCTATTTTACCATTAACTGATTGGGGACTTTAGTTACAGCAGCACACAGATTGGTGTTTAATGACAACTGGGAGCAGGTATATGCACAAGAGAGCAGGAATCTTGGAGTCATCTTAGATTCTGCCTATCACAAGGGCGATTTCTTATTTCCATCACTCCATCAATATGTAGTAGATGGCATTAAACTCAAAAAAGACCTTCAGTTGTGGCATATGGGATCTAGTTCCCTGACCAGGGATCAAACTCAGGCCGGGAAGTCTTAACCACTGAACCACCAAGGGAAGGCCCCCGCCTAGTTTTCTTAGGAGGTTTGTCTACTTCTTCACTCCCACAGCTCTTGGGTGGGGTCCCTGGTATTCGCTCCAGCTCTGAAGGCAGATAGGGATCTGCAGGAAGCAGGAGCCGGAAGCCACTTGCAACTAATGCCTTGCAACTATGGCTTTCAACTAATGCCTATCAGGGTGGGCGGAGTCAGTGTCCCGACCGAGGATGGAGCACCCTGTGAAAAGTGAAAGAAGCCTGGGAGGCTACAGTCCAGGGTCGCAAAGAGTCGGACACGACTGAAGCACCTCAGTACGCAGCCACCCTCTTGAATCCTGGAGGAACAGAGCAAAGCAGGACCACGCCCCCTCGCACGGGCAGCCAATCAGGACCTGCTCTGATTTCTCCATTGTGAAGTACTGGCCCTTGATGGTCTGGGGTCTGAGTCTTGGGATTCTGGATACAACAAGGGGAGGTGTAGTGGGTTTGGCTCTGTTTTGAAGATACTTGGAGTCTTTTAGGGTAGAAAAATCATGACCCCGATACCCGCTGACGCCGGCGCGCCGCCCCCGGCTCCAGGCGCGCCGCCCGGGGCTCCAGGCGCGCCACCCGGGGCTCCAGGCGCGCCACCCGGGGCTCCAGGTGCCGCAGCACCAGAGGTTCAACAGACGAAAGAAGAATTGTTATTTTATGCCCCGGAGTACACGTGTTTGACCGTCGTGGCCTTTATTTTATTCCCTCCCCTGGGAATACCAGCTCTCGTATTCAGCGGAAAGGTAAACCAGTGCCTGGGCCCATCCTGTCCTCTACCTGCCCCCTTGCTGTCCCCATTGCATCTGCTCCTGTCCTGGGATATGGGGAGGGGTTTTCCCTCCTGACTGGAGAGATGTCTAGCCATTACCCAGGGTTTGACAAGGCTGGACTCAGAAACCCAAATCTAAAGCTCCCATTCCTACAGACCAAAGAGGCCAACAAGAAAAGCCAATGGGAAGAAGCTTATATCAACTCGGGCCGAACTGGTTGGCTGGATGTATTCGCCATACTCATCGGTTTAGGCATCATTTATTTCTTAGTACTATTTGTCTGAAGTCCAGGCCCAACAGCCAATTGGTTCACCCACCCCAACAGGACCAGCTCACCAAAACACTGACCAGCCAAATCAGCCACCATGCAAGAAACCAACAGCTGGATATTCCCTAGCCAGAAAACCTACCAGCCAAGGAGCTCAACATTCAAGCAACCCACTAGCCCAGGAAAACATTATGCTCTTGGCCTCCAGCTCTGTCGTTATCCATCTTGGGGATCTTCACTTTGATGCTCTAGATGCCTTAAGCTCCTTGGTACTGGGCTGCTCTTTCAGGAAAATATTTATTTAAACCAATAAAATCTAAGGGTATGTTCCAGCTTCTCCTGTGTGAACGTGTGTGTGTTTCTGAGTCATTGTCTGTGTTTCTCTAGGGCTATGTGTTTCCCAAATCAGGTGAAAATCAGAATGACCTAATGGTGAAGCACAGAGACATAGAAATCTGGTGGATGTAAGTCTACATCCCACTTCTGACACTTTAAAAACTGTATATCCTTGAACAAGATAATTTTCTGGAAACTGATTCCTTTGTAAAATAGATATAATAATTGCCAATATAGAATGATATTTAGAAATTTGAATTAATGTTCTCTAGGTTCATTCAAACTGGAATTCCAGGCTTCCAGTGTCTCAGAGAAGGGAGGGACAAATAGAAACCTCCTCAACTTTTGAGATTTAAAAGCCAAACTCTTAGGAAAGAAAGACCTCAAGAACTAAATAATTGAATTTCCAGTAGAGCTGATCAGGACTGCCTCTCCCCCAATCCTGAAATGGAAATGGCTGCCTATTTATGGAATAGGGAAGTAGAGAAAGACTAGATGCCAGTATATCCATCAGAAGTCCCCGAATAACTTGCATCTCAGGAAGGGACAGGGTGTCAAAGACCCTGGTTAATACCTATATTCCCACTTCACATACAAATCCCACAGAGGCTTTAAGATATCAAAGAAAATAGGCTGTATGGTGTGGAGGTCTAGGAAGAAATGGTCTCTGACAGCCAAGTAGAATATCTCACGTCCCAGCTTGGTGAGGAGGAGGTGGAGACTTACAGAATGCCAAGTGCCTGAGTGACAGTGACTGTCAGAGGGAAACCAGGGACAACACAATCACCATCCAGAATGAATGAAAATAGAGATCAGGATGATCCCATCGACAACACTCAGGGGTTTCTTCCAGGGTCCTAGCTTCACAGACAACCCCAAATGCACCCCCAGAAACCTTAGGCTTAGTGGAATTAAGTTTCCACAGTCAAGGGGAATGGGAATTATCAGTAGAAATAAACTGAATAGCTAGGGGAAAGGCTGCTAACTCTTTCTCCATGCCCATCTCCTTTTCTTCTTGGTAGCACGACTCAGTTACATTTCCTAGGTTCCCCTGTGTGGCCATGAGATTGTCTTTGGCTTCATGGAATGTGATCACAAGTGATGTGTGCTACAAGTAACCCTGGCCTTAACCCATCTCCCGCACAGGCACTCTGCCTTTTTCTTCCTCCTCTAGCTGATTGGGCAAATGATACCCCTGGTGACTTGAAGGTCACATGTTATAAAGATGGAAGAGCTCCCATCTGCCTCAGTCCATGAATCTTAGGGACTACCACCCTAAGATTACCACTGTAAGATTACTACCACCCTACCGCCTCCCATAGTGGGAGCAGAAAATAAACTACTATGTTGTTCCATGTTATGTATGACCCACCTATTTCCACGACTTAATCCACCCTAACCTGTGCAAATGCAGGAAAATAGAGTTACATTGCTTAGACATCTAGGGTTACAGCTTTAAATTCATACCCAACAAGAGACTCACTGTGGAAGGTTTATGGAAAATAATGAGTGAAGGAGAGAATGAAAGTGGTAGTCTATGGTTAACCTTGACCTTAGCTGTTACAATGCTCTTTCTGTTTCTTCTGTGGCCCTGGGTATCTGCACAGACCACACTTGTTTGTGGGATACTGCTCCATGTTATGGGTGTGTCCGGGAAAGGAGATTATATCTGCTTGTCTGTTGTGTCGGTGGCTCTGGATGGTCAGGGTCAGCCATCCCTGTTGTTCCCCAGACTAGCCTAAGCTGGGGCTGTAACATTCATCTGCAGAACCATGTCAAGTCAGGATGGCCTATGTCAGGGTGAACAGCCAAATCCAAAAAAGACATATTGTACTATAAGACTTGGAAAGCCAAGCAGTCTTCTCTGCTTCCTAACTACCCCCATCCTGCATTCCACTCTCAGACATTCATCTGGTATTTACCAACATGTAATGTGAAAATGAAAGTTGTTCAGTTATGTCTGACTCTTTGTGACCCCATGGACTATGCAGTTCATGGACTTCTCCAGGCCAGAATACTGAAGTGGGTAGCCATTCCCTTCTACAGGGGATCTTCCCACCCCAGGAATCGAACCCAAGTCTCCCACATTGAAGGCAGATTCTTTACCAGCTCAGCCACCAGGGAACAAACCCCAAATGTCTATTCTTCTATCTTGAGACATCATCAGTTGAATTACTATGATGAAACACACAGATATAACACCTACACATTTTTCTCTCCCCTCTACTTCCTGCAGAATGGGACTACCATTTTTATTCAATTTATAGGGATTATATTTCATTAGGCCTTTGTAAGTATGCTCCATTACTGAGCATGGTGGTTCATGGTGATTGAAAGTGAAAAAAGTGAAAGCGTTAGTCACTCAGTTGTGTCCGACTCTTTGCGACCCCATGGACTGTAGCCTTCCAGGCTCCTCTGTCCATGGAATTCTCCAGACAAGAATACTGGAGTGGGTTGCCATTCCCTTCTCCAGAGGAATCTTCCTGACCCAGGGATCGAACCCACTGCCTGAGCCGCCAGGGTAGCCCCTTATGGCGATTACATACTCTGAACTAATTTTTGAACTCAGCAGCCAAGCAACCCATCTGCTTGGACTCTTTCAGAATTTCTTTTTCTTCCTCTTTCTCCTCCAATTTTTGCTTCTCTTCTCCCTCTTCCTCCTGCTTCTCCTCACCTTCCTCCTCCTCCTTCCTCTGTTGGTTCTGTTTGCTCAGTTATCTATGTGCCCCTTCACGAATTGTTCCCAGACTCTCCAGAACTCTTTAACTGCTCTCAGCAGAATTCCCCCATGGCCAAACCGGTCAGGTCATTTTTTATTCTCTTTTTCCTTTGGATCATTAAACCTGTTTCTTTACCTGAGATTTTTAAATTTAATTTTACTTATTTTTGGCCATGCCATGTGGCAGTGCCTTGGCATGCAAGATCTAAACCTCCCATCCAGGGATCAAACCCCCACCCCCTCTTCCCTGCATTGGGAGCTTGGAGTCTTAACTACTGAACTGCCTGGGAAGTCACATGGAATTTTTTTTTTTTTTGCACAACTTCCACACAAATATATTCTCCCCCAAAAATCAAGTAATAAAAAGAGTCTGAAGGAGAGGAGAAGCTCATTTTATGGCTGGTCCTGGTATCACTTTCCCCCTCTCCTAGGTTGTTGTTTAGTTGCTCAGTCATGTGTGACTCTTTGGGACCCTATGGACTGTAACCTGCCAGGTTCCTCTGTCCATGGGATTTCCCAGGCAAGAATACTGGACTGGGTTGCCATTTCCTTCTAAAGGTGATCTTCCTGACTCAGGGATACAACCCGTGTCTCCTGCATTTGAAGGTGGATTCTTTACCACTGAGCCACCAGGTAATTGCTGACAATATTTTGTTGTTAACTCTTTCAGTTACCTTAATGCATTTCCATGTGCATACATATTCAGACACCTTGATACCACACTTCTGCTTACCTCTAGATCTTGAAAATGCTTTTGTGTTAATACTGAAGATTTTCAACACCAAATGCCCTGCATTCTACTTGTCAATAACTCCCCTCTGTGAGCTGATCATGGTGATTTCCAATTCCTAGTCCGTCTTGTTCCAATAATTCATCTCTGAGGACATATGTGTTAAGTTCTAAACGCTGGGAGGATTAGCTGGGTTTTTGAATTGTGTGAGTAGAGGTGAATTTCAGGAGCCAGCAGATGGCTGAGCCCCAAGAGAGAGTCCTAGGCATGTTTACCCCTAGTTTCTGTCCCCCCCCGCCTCTGCCCCCCAGCAGGAAGAGCAGCACGGAAGGAGGCCGCCTCTCTGAATTGTAATCACTCAGTTCTGGAAGTTTGAAAGCAGTAGGCTGGAGGAGCGAGTGAATATCCAAAGGTGAGGGTTTACTCCCTAACTCTTCCATGAACACCAGCAGCCTGGACCGTTGCTGCCGACTTCTAAAAGGATAGCCGATGACTTCCTCAAGGCAACTACATCAAAGTCGAGAGCAGGACCTGAAAAGCATCCTTCCAACAACCCAGCCATTCCATCCACAGATTTATACCCAAAGAAATGTGTACATGTATTCACCAAAAGATGTGCTAGAATAGCGGGCCAGCTTCGTGGAAGACAATTTTTTCACGAACTTGGGCAAGGGGAGGGGTTGGTTTGGGAATGATTCAAGTGCGTTATATTTACTGTGCACTTTATTTCTAGTATTATTACATCAGCTTCATTTCAGATCATCAGGTGTTAGGTCTCAGAGGCTGGGGATCTTTGTGCTAGAATATTCATAGCAACTTTATTCCTAAGAACCCAGATTGGAAACTACCCACATGCCTGTAAACAGTAGAATGCCAGAATACGTTGGGTGTGTATTCCCCAGCAAAGAGGGTGGTTGCTCCGCAACTACACACAACAATGTGGATGAATTTCCCAGACATGAAATGGAGAAAAAGAAGCTTCCTATAGACTTATACTGTAGAACGTACAAAAGCAGGCTAAATTAGTGTTTAGGGAGCAGTGACTGGAAGGAGGCCTGGGGTTAAGAGGTTGAATGCTGGTTTCGCACATGAGTTCAGTTGGAAAAGATCTAAGCTGTACCTTTCTGATACGTGCACTTTTCAGTGATGCGTTAGTCGCTCAGTCATGTCTGACTCTTTATGACCCCATGGACGGTAGCCTGCCAGGCTTCTCTGTCCACAGGATTTCCCAGGCAAGAATACTGGAGTCAGTAGCCATTCCCTTCTCCAGGGGATAGTCCCAACACCGGGATCAAACCTGGGTCATTCTGCATTGCAGGCAAATTCTTTGAGTCATGGTAGACCCATCATACTTCAATAAATTGTTTTTAAAACTCCAAGATTACCCTCTGGTGCTTCCACTGCATGGAGTGTGGATTCAATCCCTGGTTGGGCAACTAAGACTGAGCCTGCCTCATGGTGCAGCCAAAAAGTGAAAAAAAAGAAGAGAGAACTTGAGATCCCTGGCGGTCCAGTGACCCAGACTCCTTACTCCCAGTGCAGGGGCCCAGGT